TGTGGATTAGGGTTTGGGAGGAAGTGGCCAGAGAGTCAGGACTGCAGAAGGGCATGAGCTGGGGTCAGGGTATGTGGAACAGCTTTGTCTCCCCTATTCTGCTGATTTAGGTCCCTGAATTAGCTTTATTTCTACCTTTGAAAATGAAAAAGTCACAGTCTTTATTGGAGACATCCCAGGCTCAGTGTTATCCTGCCTCCTGAAATAAAGGCAGGAAAAGAGATGCTCCCCTGCCCTGAGCACAAGGACACAGGGAAGATGCGCTAAGCAGGCTTCCCGGTGGTCCCAGACTGGGCTGGAGCACCTCAGAAGTCAGAGGGCTGGCACCCAGAACAAGAAGAGGGTCCGGCTGTCCAGGGCCATGTCTCCGAGTGGGGTCAGCGAGTGTGGGCAGGCAGGGTCAACAGGCTCACTCCCGGGCCTGCAGGACTCACTCCAGAAGCCCCCGGGGCTGGGACAGGATTCTCTGCTCAAGCCGGGCATACCTGGGGAGAAGGGCAGCATAGGCCTGGATGGGCGGAAAGAGCGCTTTAGAATGGGGAGGGGGACGGGCCTCGTCCATCACTTTGTAACTTGCAATTTAAAATTTTTACATCCCATTTACTTGCCATTTAATTTTTTTTTGCTGGGCAAAAGGAAGGAAGCATCAAATCATAAAGAAAGAAATGCTACTGGTTCTCAAACCTGAGTATAAGATTTTTTAAAAATGCAAATTATGACACAAAGCCAGTTTTTGTTATCAAATCTACAAAATTAAAAAATGAATTCCAGTGAAGAGACCTGGATATGGCTGTCTCATTGCACAACTGGCAGAAGTTGCCGGTGCAACCCTTTTGGGAATCAACTTGACTTTACACCTGTATTAAGGAGCTTGAAAATGTTCACAGCCTTTGACCAGTGATTCTACTTCTGCAAAGCTCTAAGGAAATAATATTACATGTAGATGCCAGGCCCACCAAAGTTCTTCTTAGACACCACGAAACATTCAGACTCATCAGACGACCACGGGCCACATGTTGGCTCTCAAGAGGGTACACTGGAGAAAACATCTCTTCAATGGGAGACCATTTAGTGGGCCATATAGCAGTTTCCACAGGGGCCCAGAAGAGGGTCTCTTAGCCTCCCTGCCTTCTCCCTTCCTTGCCCCCCAGGTTATAGTTCAGGTGCAAGGAGATGAAATACACACTGAACAGGTGCAAGAACCACCTTGGCCTTGACACCTCATGTCCCACAGGGGTAACTCTTGTAACAGCTCCCTAGGCAAGAGACACGCCCTGAAGTCACCGCACTCAGGGAAGAGTAAGTATGACTTCCCTACATGTATTTATGGTCTTCCCATTCCAGGTGCAGTTTCCCAATTAAAGGCCATTTTTACATAAGCAATGGTGCCTAGTAACACTGTAGACATTCCATTTTATTAAGGAAGAAACTGCAAAGGAAACAGAGCTAGAAAGTTAACAGAATAGAAAAGGGTTAACCCTTAATCCACAAAGAGTTGGTTATGTTTGAAAAATTAGAAGCAACTGCTCTAAGACACGGAAAATGCTCAAGTAAGTTATGGTTCATCAGCCAGACAGAATACTATGCAGTCATTAAAAATAATGTGTGTGTGCATTTTTAAGAATGTAAATACTTACATAGTGATGTAGAATTTTATATATATGAAAAATTATTATATGTACAGTGTGCTGTATAATAAACCAAACAAAAAAAAACAACAAGGGAAAAAGGACCACAAGGAAATACAGCCCCACATTCTCACCCTTCATTCAGTGATTTTTCAAGCTGTTTTCTCCTGTGGCTCCATAAGCCTTGTCTGAGAAATGGGGCACTTCAAGGAGCACCTATTGTCTTAAAGACAAGCAACACTTAAGACAAAAGGACCCAGTTTCCTTGGGACTCGCACCACCACTCGTTCCCACCCATCCCATTCCTTCTTCATTTGGCTTAATTAGCTCCAAAGCCAAGTACTTTAGTAACTGACGATGCAATAAGGACCTATTCTTGGTACAGCTCCAGCAACTCTGTGAACACAGAGAAAGTGAGTCCTTGACTTCCTCTCCAGGGAAGAAATTGCAACATTCAGCTAAGTCCAGAGAGAAAACACTGCTACTGTTTCAAATTTCCACTTGAGCACAGTACTCCTGCTGTGCCTGAGAGAAAACAGGATGTCACCCTGCTCTTGAGGAATTTACAATCCAGTCTGCAAATAGGTCACTTATGCCATCAGAGATCTCTGACTGCGTGCAACCTGGTGTTGAGACAGATTCTGAGGTTACACTTGGGTTTAGTGGTAAAGAGTTCCACGAGCTATTAGTGACTGGCCATAGGCAAGCCGGGGAGAGTGGCTGAGTATTTCCTACCTGTGACGAAGCAGGTGCAGCTTTCCCCAACTACCTTCTTCCTTGCTGGCCTCTTAGACAGGACGAAAGAGCCAGACCCTGCCCCATTCTTGCTTACAACCAAGGCTGACCACTTGACCAAGTGATAGTCTATTGGGGGAGTTGTGGGAAACAGAACAGGATGTCTTAGGAAGTGTGTGAGGAGAGGCTCTGGCCAGTGAATGCAGTTGTGGGGGGACATGATGTCTGGAGCAGCTGCAGTCGTCCTTCGGCCATCTGGGACACGTTTAGAGCTGCAGGATCCAATTCAGGAGCCACAGCCATATGTGCCTTTGAGCACTTGAGATGTAACTAGTGCTCTAAGGACACACCAGATTTCCAAAGCTCCAGACAAAAAAGAAGCTAAATATCACATTAGCACTTCTTAATGATTACACGTTGAAATGACAATATTTTGGAGATACTGGATTAAGCAAAATGTTACTAAAAGTTATCATATATTTCGTTTTGCTTTTTTAAAAAATGAGACGACTAGAAAATTTGAAATGATCTATGTGGCTCCCATGAGGTTCCCACTGTTCACTGCTGATCTGGAGAACTTCGGGGATCAGGACCTGGGGCCCTGACACTGTGGAACCACTGAACCAACACTGGCAGTGACCTTCAGACCTCCTGTTACATAACGAAGCCGTTATAGTCAAGGATGGTCTTTAAACCTCACAATTGGCAGGTTAAAAGTAGGCAGGACAGATGTCCCCACTTCACAGATGAAGAAACAGAGGTTCGGAGAGAAGTGCTGCTCAAGGTCACACGAAGGTCAGACGGTGAGGGAGAGGAAGAAAAAGTTCAGAACTCAAAAGGCCTTTTATCTCAATGTAGGATCTTTCTACCGCACTGAGCTGTCTCTTACACATAAGGACACACAACAGTAAATAATAAAATCCCACGTACACCTTTGTGTGTGGGTTACCCTGTCACCTGGAAAGCATGAGCTTCTGCTTCCAAAATACCAAATATGCTGGGAACAGTTCTCCGTGGTGTTTCTATGTCTGGTGATAGCTTTTGTTCCCTATCTTTTCAAGGATGTCTGTATAGCAGCCCTGGAAGACAGAGATAGTGTCGCCCTCTGGGGGCAGAGGGAACATCTTTGCTGACCGGGATAGTAAAGATGTGTCCCCTTTGGGGGCAAAGGTTGGGCAGGTCTGCGTGCCGCTCCTTTGTAAGGTTGGGGGCTCCTAAGCTCGAGGTCCCTCAGTGACACAGACATAGTGTGTGCACAGCATCCACTGGGACCACTCCACATCACCGCAGGGCACGTCAGGGCCAAGGGGAACGGAGGCAGGGTGAAGCTCATGCTGCCTGCTGGACCACCGGGAGTAACCAAGCCCTCTGTCTGCCCCGCCCCTGCTCCTGGGCCGCAAGCACCTTCTGCAAACAGAACAGCGGTGCGGTGGAGGCTGTGGCAACCACCCAGACTGCGTGAGGAATGGGGAACTTAACTCACCCAGCCCTCAGCTGACAGCCCCCTGTGGGGATGGCTTCAGCTACAGAGCTGCTTTACCCCATCCTGGGGTAGCCTGCATGCAATGGCCGACTGACATGGGGTAGAAAGGCCTGGCCCCTGCAGCCCAACTGGGTAAAACTCTAAAGGGTCACCCCAGCTTCAGAAGTTCCACAGGGATGCCTGGGGGCTCCACCGAGACTGCCCTGCAGCTCACCTTCTCCCTCTGCCCAGTCCTGCCTCCTTTTCCGTCCACAGGCTAGATCCCAAGAGCACGCCCTCGGAAACCTCCTGCATCTTTAATCGACGTCTTATCATCTGCTTTCCTGGGAACCTGACCTGTAACCGTGGGGGCCGCCGTACAGGGATTTCCTGGCCCGACCGACTGCACAGCCGCCTTGGATCCAGACTTCAGATCTGAGTGCTAGAAACCCAGCATGCCTTGTGCTTAAGTGACAGTCTTTCAGCAGCTTCTGTAACTGGTGGAATGAAAGGGCCTGCCCTGAGGCATACAGAGCAATTGTGCCCAGCAGTCTACCTGACCCCTGGGGCTTTAAAATCAGCAGTTATCTGTGAATCTTGGTTGACAACCTGGCTTCTTTTGCTCTGGTTTCCTTGACAATAAAGAAAAAATAGAAGTAGCATGTCCCCTTTCACTGGGCACATCAACTTTAAGGCAGGTGACAAAGAAAGACTTACCTTTTGGGGGGGGGGGAGGAAAGAACCCAGTTGGTTTTCACAGTGCAAATGCTATAAGCAAATTCTGATGGTCTCTCACCTGAGAAGCGCCTGGGCTTGGGGTAGCAGCTAATCTGGGATTTGGGGCTAACTTCACAACCTCTGAAAAGGACATGTCTGTCGCAACTGCAAGGCCTAGAAGAAAAAGCTCATGTCATTGCAAATCAGGACATTAACCGGAAATAGCATTTTATCTCTGGGGTGATAAAATGTTCTGAAACGGCATTAGGGTGATGGCTGCAGAACTCAGTAAAATTACTGAAAAAATTACCGAACTGTACAATTAGAACTGGGTGATTCTTACATATGATCATGCTTCAGTAAAACCATTAAAAAAAAAGAAGAGTAAAGAAAGGTTCAAGTGCAGAGCCTTCAGCAGGGCCTAGTTTGTCTTGCTCACTGATCACGCCTGTCACAGCCGAGGGCTGAGCCCCAGCATCTAACAGAAGGGGAGGGCCACCCTCTCCCCCCTCGCATCACTCGTCTCTCCCATCGTTTCTCCATCAGTCACTATATTCTAGCCACCCTGGAGCAGCTTTCAAGTCCTCCTGTCTCAGAGCCTTTCCACCATGTGGAATGTTCTTCTCTTTCCACGTATTTTTTCTCTCTCTCTCGGATAAGCTGCAGCGAAGAACATCACTGGCTCAGGAGGCTCCCTCACCCTCTGCCCCTAAGAACCACCCGCTTCCCTCAGGGCATTTCTCACGGGTCTGGCCACAGGTTTGTTGAAGGTCCCTGCCTTGCTCTGTGAGGCCAGGGCCTGGGTCTCCACTAGAGCCCTGGGGCCTCGCACCTACCTGCACACAGGAGGCGCTCAATAAACACTTGTCGAGCAAAGGAGTCACGTGGGTGGAAAAGAGGGAAGGTTCCGCAGGTGCGCAGGAAACAGTGAAGGGTTTCTAGGCAATTTAAGGAGTAGTAGAGGATTGACAGGGAAACCGCCACCGCCAGGAGTGAAGGCGGGCCCACGGAAGGGGCGAGGCCCAGTTTTCTATCCGAGTGCTGGAGTATCCCAGCTCGGAGCTGAATGGTGAGCAAACAGGATGAGCGGCGGGGTGGCCAGCGGTGAGATAATCAAAAGCTCTGGTTCTCGCCCGGCCAGTGTGGCTCAGTTGGTTGAGCATCGCCCCTGCACCAGGAGGTTGCCGGTTCGATTCCCAGTCAGGGCACATGCCTGGGTTGTGGGTTCGGTCCCCAGTCGGGGGCGTGCAGGAGGCAGCTAATCAAGGACTCTCATCATTGATGTTTCTTTCTCTCTACCTCTTCTTATCCTCTCTCTTTCTCAAATCAATTTTAAAAAACCATATTTATAAAAAACGTACTTAGGTTGTACATTGCAACAAAACTAGCATGGACTCGAAGGAGAAAGAAACTGCAGTGAGTTAAAAAAAAAAAGGAAGAAAAACTCACAGGTAAGTGCAAGTAAAACCCAATATGATGTAAATTTTAACTGAAAACATAACAATCTGGGAATAAATTGCCCACTGATCCTGATACAGGAGGCGTGAGGTGGACAGGGTGTGGAGGGAGGGGAATGAAAAAGAGGAACATTACTAAGAGAATTAATAATTAATTCCCAAATTAATTCTCAATGTCGGTAGAAAACACGTCTTAAAAGGTGCATTAAAAAGTTAAAAGTAAACAGGTGAAGCTGGAACCTCTGGAGGAAAAAGATAAAGCCCTTAAGGTCAATGGGCAGCCGAAATNGGTCAATGGGCAGCCAAAATAGCGGCCTGAGCAGGCAGAGGGCAGAGAAAATGGACCAAATGGAAGGAAGAACACCCTGTGGGCACGTGCTGCTCCTGCCAGAAGCTTCCCAGGTGGAGCGGTTCCTTTATCGCCCAGTTTCAGAGAGGCCTCCAGGCGAGCAAAGGGGCCTGTGGCGCTGTCCAGGGTCCTGAAGTGCTTGGCTCGGAAGCCTTCCCTGTCGTCTCAACCTTCTGCTCTTGCTGAAAAGACGGCTCATCCCTCTCTCTTGCCCGCCAGCTGTCCACACTCAAGCCCGCGTGCCCTCAGTATGCCCTGTGTCCTTTCCCAGTGTCCCTGTGCTGAGCCTGACTCTGACCAGGCCTCGCTCACTTAAGACCATGCCTCTCCCCACTCCCAGTAGAGAATTAAGGAACAGAAAATTGGGGTTAGCTCTCACCTGCTGGGGGGGAGAAAAAATGAAGCTACATCCATCCCACAAGACTCCAATGCCCCTCAAGACTGGGTACGTCCCAGTCTCCCCTCTCCGCCCTCCTCAGCCCAGCGGTGCCCCAACCGCTTCCAGAGGCATCTCACCCCATCCATCCACCTACCGTGGAAAGCTCGGTAAGCAGAGCCCAGGCAGGCTGAGTTGGCAGTGTCTATGATGTATACTGGGGCGCCAAACACATCCGCAAGCACCTGGGAAGGACAGGGGTTCCTGCTGTGGGGAGTCGCTCCTCAGAGGGAACACGGACAGTCGGCACACACTTTCCTCACCCGTCTTCCGACGCCTCTCACGCCACCTCTACTGCCCTAAAGGAGGTGTACCTGGGCATGCGCCCTGGTGGTACAAGGGTCGGGATGACCTGTGGGATGTCCCGAGTGGAGGGCGACAGCTCCCCAGGTTATCCCTGCACTGTTTAACCATTTTATCAAAGACAAGGAGGAAGACTTAGGAAGTATGCTTAGCAAGCGGTCAAGGTGGGCACGGCTGGGTATCAGACTAATATTAACAAGCCCAGACCCAACAAACGAGGGCATGTTTTACAGGGATAAAGTGTTCCATTTAGGCCACAAAAATTAATTGCATACATTTAAAATGGAGGGTGTGTGCTAAGAGGAGCTCACATGGAAAGACTTGGGGGGGATCTTAGTGGACCAGAGATATTGTAGGAGATGCCACTGATGCCCCATCTGGATCCCCTGACTGGGCCGGTGTGCACCCCTCCCCAGATGCTGTGAGAATTGGCTGCTAATGGCTCCCAGCTGCCCCTCCTTAAAAGAACTGCTCCTGGCTGAACAGAGGCTGCCTCTCACAGGAGGTTATTTTCATCTCTCCCAGGGTGGCCAGCTGGCCCCTTCCCCCAAGGTGGAGACAAGTTTGTGGGAGAGTTCACGTTCCACATCTCCCCACAGGACGGAGCCGAAGCTGACTCCAGCCAAAACCACATCCTTGCTTGCCCTCCCCCTGCCCTGCCTGCATCTCTCACTCCCTTTCTCCCTTGAGAACTCTCTCAGCACATCGCTTATAGAAAATGCCCACTTCAGACTCTGCTTCTAGAGAATCGTACCTAAGACAGGTATATTACAAGTCAAGAGCTGACGCAGTGATTCAAATGGCTAAGGCAGCCTCAGGCTACATCCTAAAATACTCAGTGTCCAACAAGACCCTGACAGCCCCAAGATGTAACAGCCTGACTGTCAGACACCTGCAGGTTGATTCCAATTTTGGTCAAATATTTCTGGCACAATGAAGGATCGGAAAGACAATGACAGAGTCTAACAACTATATTACAAGAGGAATGGTTGAGAAATCAGAGGTGTTTAAATTGGAAGGCAGAAACTCTTAGGAAGGCAAGAACACTGGCCTGCGATGGCAGGTGTGACATGTGGGGCAGGCACTTCCTGGTGGCTTCAGAGGCCAGGGCTGTGTCAGAGAGTGGAGTCATACAGGGCAGTGGACTTCCCGAGTCTAGAACAGCCTGCTCACAGCGTGAGCGGGAAGGCAGTTGCTCTGCCTTCCTGGGAGAGGAATGGGATCAGAGGTGGGCAGTGTCTGGCTCTTAGAAGTAACAGACCTCCTGGTAACAGAGGCCCTACCAGCACTTACTTGTAATATGTCTCTGTTGTGAGAAGCCCCTCCAGTGGCCAAAATCTTTGTCTTGGGCACTGCAAGGAAAAAGAAAAAAATGAATGGCTGTGACAATTCCCAAGGCAGAAAAGGCTGTTTTCTGGAGTTCTTCAGACACAAAGGGCTTGTGTTGGCCCATTGCTTCTTATCACAGAGGATTGGGGGAGAGACCCAAAAAGCTGGTTCTGTCCCTGCAGGCTTGTCACATATAATTTGCTTGTGAAGCTGCCGCCCCACCCACCACTTTCTGTCTTCATTTTTTTTTAAACATTGAAAAACAAAATCTCTCAGTGAAAAAGCATTCATGCATTACACGCATGTTTAGAAACAAATGTTTTAAGCCCCTGCTGTCCCTGCTCAGCCTGCTCCATCTGCACTCTCGGCCATTAAGAAAGTACCTGGGCTGGGGCAGAGGAAGGCAGGCCAGGCCCCTACGGAAACAGTCTAGGACTAGGAAGATGTTCTAGTGTGACTGCATGTTGGAAAATCAAAATCAGCCTCCGTGCCTGACTGCAGGGAACACACCATGAAGACGGCTTTCAATAAACTTTAGGGTTTGTATGCACAAAGGAAAGAGGCTATAGCTACATAAAAATAAGCTCATAAAAAAGACTGGAAAACTTCCAGGTGGTACGAGTGGTTGGAAGAGGGGATGGGATTCTAAGTAGCTTTCTTTACTTTCTAAGCTTGCTACGACAAAGTTTTATTGCTTTTACAAATCAACCTAAACAAAATGAATTATACATAGAAACATAAGCTGAAAGGGACCATGGCTTCAGCCTAGCGCAGGTGGATGCATGTCTGGTGGTGTCTAAACATCAAGAGAGCGATTGTTCTTTAAATGAAGCATCTGTAGCCAGTGGTTAAGAACCAGAGTCCAGAGCCAGAAGCTCAGTTCAAAGCTCTGCCAGCCTCGAGTAGGTAACGTAACACATTCCCTACTTTGGGAAGCGGGGGCAATACCAGTGCCTACCTCAGAGCGCTGTTGTTCATAAGGAATAAGTGCTCAGAACCAGGCTGGGCACACAGTAGGTGCTTAATAAATGTTGGCAGCTATTATTATCATGATCATCAGTCTTACATAAAGTGCCTCTTTAATAACAAGATTCTGGCTGATCAAGAATGAAACCCAAGCAGGTCAATCCACACAGCAGCTGGGAAGATGACACCTCTTCCCAGTGCCGCCCTCGGTGGTTCCAAGCACGTGCATTTACCTGATCTTGCTTGAGGGGAACCCAGCTGAGCCGGCAGGACAGGTTTGCTTTTGCTTTTAAGCTTGCTAAGAGGATAAGTAACCTCATGCTGTTTTGCACAGGAAACGCTAGAGAGGCTGAGAATGATGACCTGATCCCATTACCCCTCCTGAGCCCAGGAGGACCTCTCGGCCCTCGCTGCCTCTCCCTGCACAGGAGCTGTTGGGGACAGCCTCCAGCTCCCAACCGCCCCCTCCTGACAGCTAGAGAACCCTTCATGCCAGGCATTCGCTGCCAACCTCACTACCATCCCTGCCCTGCTCACCTGATCTTATTTCTTAGGGAACTTGAAGTCTTGGAGACACTTGAGGAATTTCTCTGTACAGTTTGAGTGGAAAGGTGGAGAGGAACGGGGATGTTTACAATGCTCATTTATCTACGAGCATGTGTGGCCTAACCTTTATCGGACGAAAGGGAACTTTAGTTCCCGGCAAAATGTAATTTAAATTGTAAATGTAATTTTTATATTTTTTAACATCAGTAACATATACGAAAAGATAACTTTAATAGTAAACAATACATTTTCTTTATGAATGTTTTTACTTTTCATAAATAACTCAAAAAATAGATAAGATAGAGGCAAAAAAGTAAATGCCTGCAGAGCTGAATTTAAATGCTGTCTTTTAAAGGTTAACAAGGGCATACGTTCTAAGAAATGCACTGTCAGGCGATTTTGTGATGCAAATACCATAAAGCGCACCTACACCAACCTGGATGGCCAGCCTCCTACGCACCTAGGCGACGTGGTAGAGCCTAGTGCTCCCAGGCTTCAAACCTGTACAGCACGTTACTTACTGAATACTGTGAGCAACTGTAACACAGTAAGTATACATGTATCTAAACGTATCTCAGCATAGGGAAGGTGCTGTACTTTCATAGGACCAGCAGCATCACCACGAACACGTGAGTAACGCATTGCACTACGTTACGACGGCCACTATGTCACTAGGTGGTAGGAATTTTTCAGCTCCGTTTTAATCTCATGGGACCACTGTCCTATATGTGGTCCGTCGTTGACCTAAACGTCGGTATGCAGCACGTGGCTGCATTTAAACATTTTTATTACACACACACATCCTGAAAAAATCTACATACACATCACATAAGCTGATAGCCTGACAAATTTTCCCAAGTGAAACACCCATCCACCCCAGGAAGCAGAACGTCATCAGCACCCCAGAGGCCCTCTCATGCCCCTCCCTCCCCGAAAGGTAACTGCTACCTATCCTGACTTCCAACCTCAGCACACAGTTTTGTCTGATTTCGAATGTGATGTACACGGAGCCCTGCCACATGTACTTTGTGTCCGGCTGCTTTTGCTCGGAGTGCCATCGTGAGATTTACCCATTCTGTTGCGTGTAGCGGAGGCCAGTTCATGTTCGTTCTGTGTAGCATCACGCTACACGAAGACCCACCATGCACTTATCCTGTCTGTTCTCAGCGGGCATTGCGTTGCGTCCCATGTGGGACTCTCAAGCACAGAGCCACGCTGAGTGGTCTCCCGCACGTCTGTGGAGAACACATGTACACACTCCTGATACACATTCACCGACAGGTGTGCATGCAGCTTAGTCGGTGCTGCCTAATAGGTTTGCAGAAGGTTCCCCTAATGCTTATTTTTACAATATCCTTTTCTTTGGTGGGTTCATAATCATAATACGTACTACAAAGAACTTAGAGTGCCCATAAAAGTACCATGAGGAGGCCGTCAAGCAAAGGGGCTTCTCTAGTGACAACAGCTGCTGCCCAGAGGGACAAACACATCTTAGAAACCTGGTTTCCTTGCAGAACCCCAGGCATACCAATGCCATCAATACGAGGAACTTGCCCGGCTGGCGTGGCTCAGTGGTTGAGCATCGACCTAGGATCCAGGAGACCAAGGTTCAATTCCCCGTCAGGGGACATGCCCAGGTTTCGGGTTCCATCCCCAGCAGGGGGCGTGCAGAAGGCAGCCGATCAATGACTCTCTCATTGATGTTTCTCTCTCCCTCTCCCTTCCTCTCTCTGAAATAAAGATATTCAATAAATAAATAAATAAATAAAACCTTAAAAAAAATACAGGGAACTCACTCACCTCCTAAAGCTGCTCGAGTTCTTGGAAATCCCTTTCTCCCCACGTGCCTCCCCCTTCCCTGGTTCTGACACTCCATTCCAGACCTCGTGCTTTGGACAGTGGCTCTATATCCTCATTGTTCCCCACCCAAACTGAAATGCCCCAAACTGTGCCCCCCAGGGAGGTAGGACCCGGCCAAGCTAGAGGTCAAGGACCAGACATGGCCCCTGCCCAGACTTTCCCACCTGTGTTGCCCACATCCTCAGGGTCCAGAGCTTGAGACATTCAGTTTGCAGGATGGTGCTCAGGGTTACAGAAAGATCTCCACGCCCTACAGCTCCTGGCCAGACCAGGCTACTGAGGGCAAAATGTAGGAGAACCACCTGTCCCCTAGCGCACGCCTGCCCACAAGTGCGAGTCAGCTCATTTTCAGCCACCACCAGGGGTCAGGCTCCTTTTCTCTCCTGCATGAGGCCCCTGCAACAGAACCTTACAGACAGCGCCTGCCAGGCCAGGCCTGACGGCCGAAAAGGATCTCAGGCACCTCGGTGTGAGGGGACCACGATCCCCAGCCCAGAACACAGCCCGCCAGCAGCTCACTTACTAACTCGGTAGCCAAGGCCCTCGGCGTGAATCCTCTTGGCCATGAACTGTCCTTCAATCAGTGCGCGGACCTCCACATCCTTGGGGAACGCTGAGACCTGTCTCCAGGAGAAAGTGAGCACAGAGTGAAGAGCGCTCATTGCCCATTCATGTGTGTGTGTAATTATTTTATATTTTATTTATTTATTTATTTTTTTAGAGAGAGGGAGAAGGAAAGATAGACACATCGGTGGGAGAGAAACTCGGATGCCTCCCTCACGCCTCCTATGGGAATCGAGCCTGCAACCCGGGCACGTGCCCTGACCGGGAATAGAACCAGTGACCTCTTGGTGCACAGATTATGCTCAACCACTGAGCCACACCAGCCTGGCAATGTGTGTTATCATTTTAAACAGTAACCCAGATTCGGAACTCATGACTCAGGCTTCCAGTGGAGCTCGTGCATAGCTGGGCTCCCAAACCACTGACTGCCTGTCACACACACACAAATACACAACTTACACAAGTGTTTACAGCCTCATGCGAGTGTCACTTTGGGGAGTCAGAGCACCAGAGAGCTCAGGCCACCAAGGGTTCAGTTCTGCCTCTGCCAGTCAGCCCTGTGGCCTTGAATAAGTTCTGTAAATCTTGCTGCGTCTCAATAGTGTTACCTGTGGTTTAGGGCTGTTCTAATGATCAAAGCAGACAGCAGAGCCTGGTCTATGCAGTTGACACTCACTGAGAGCCAGGAGCTTCCACTGTGAACACACGGCTCTGGGGTGCCCTCAGGCTAGAGCTGATAGGTGCCATTCCAGCCGGGCCCATGTCTCTAGCCCCTGAGCCCAGTGACTGGACGCTCCCACGGTCTCCCTCACTACTCCAGCCTGATGCAAGTACTTTCAGTGCCTCCAACAGCTCCCTCTGCCTGGACTTCTGCCCACCTCAAGGCCACCTCCTCAGAGAGGCCACACCTGGTCACCCATCTAAGGCAATCCCCCAGCTCACCCACTGCCTTTTTTTTTTTCTATTGATTTCAGAGGGAGGGAGCGAGGGGGAGGGAGAGAAAGGGAGGAGAGAGAGACCTCGATTTGTTGCTCCATGTATTTATGCATTCATTGGTCGACTTGTATGTACCCTGACCAGGGATCAAACCGGCAACCTTTGCAAATTGGGATGATGCTCTAACCAATTGAGCTACCTGACCAGGGCTCAAAAATGTTTGTTTTTTCAATGGATGAGTGAATGAATGAAGCCCCTAAAAGCAGCATAATGTGATAGGCGACTGTTAAATTTAATACTCAGAAATGGAGCGAATGGAGCTCCAATACCCGTAACACATACCTCACGGTTTTCTGCACTAAACCTATAACGCCCGATCATTTCAGGGGTGATCTCCTTTACGTCAAAATAAAAACCTGAAACAGACCAGGAAGAGATTAGTTGTCAGTGGTCAAAAACAAAAGGTGGGTTTCTCCAGACTTAGAGAAGGGCAGGGTGCAATGACCCCACATCCCTGCCCCCTGCGCCTCGCTCATCCATGGGACAACATCTACAAATACTCTCTGTTCCTTCTCTCTGGCGGGACAGAGGGCAACTGGAAAGGTGTAGGCCAGTTCTTTTAATATAAGGATTTGAAATTATGCGCATTTTTAAATAGATTTTTATTTATTTCAGAGAGAGGAAGTGAGAAGGAGAGAGAGAAACATCAATGATGAGAGAGAATCACTGATCGGCTACGTCCTGTACACCCCCTACTGGGAATCAATTCTGCAACCCAGGCATGTTCCCTGACAGGAGTCGAACCGTGACCTCCTGGCTCACAGGTCGACGCTCAACCACTGAGCCCCGCTGGCCGAGCTAGGCTCGTTTTCTTAGACAGCTCTTCCTGTGCTCACCTGGCAGCCAGGCCCCACTAGCCAGCTGCCCCACTAGCCCTAAAATACCTGCACAGCTTTGACTAGAGGAGGCACATCCCCTCCCTGCTCAGAGGCCTGTTGCAGACACTGGGCACTTTTCCTAATAGGACCTTGTGTCTGCAGCAGACAGCTGTGTACAGGGATGTACCAGTGGAGGGCAGGCATTGTGGCTGCCATTTCTGATGCCATCACCAGGGGCTTCGAGGGGGACAAAAGATGCAGCCTCCAGCCCGCCTCACTCAGAACATGGGGTCTCACACCAGCTATCAGGCCCCTGGAGCAGAAGGGTAGACAGACACAGGGTTCTCCCCAGCTTCTCCCTGGCCCTCCTCTCCCCGACTCATGAGGCTCCAGGTCCTGCCCCTCCCACAGGCAGCTGCTGCCCCTTCACGGGCCTGGGCATCACCCAACAGCCTACCCAAGTTTCCACCGTTCCCCATCTCCGTGGACCGCAGCGCCTCAGAGAACTGGCTCCAGGAACAGGAAGCTGATTCATTGCGGATCTTCTCTCTCATGAGAGAGCCATTTTTAAAGCTGCAGAAGTGCACACAACCCTGAGGGAGGGTCCCAGTGCTTGCTGACTGGACCCATGTGTTGCCAAGTAGAGGGGCTGCCGGTCAGGCTGGACCACAACCCCCAGTCACTGCATGGCAGGGATCTGAGGTTCTCCCTTGGGTACCAGGCCCAGCTCAGATCCAAGGAATCACCAGGAAATGCACTTGTCTTGGGCTATTTATGAGAAGGGAGCCATAGAGGAGCCCAGAGAGGGACAGAGAGCTGGGTTTCTGCACATGGTACCATCTGGACAACGGAGAGGGGCTAGCTAGATTTATTAGACCTGCATATTTTCCAGCGGTTCCTGGGGCTTAGAGGCTCAGAAACCTCCCTCAGTAGCTTCCAGCAAGTCTCCAAAGGCCTGTGGTCAGGGCGCAGCACACACCCTTCCTGTAAGAACTGTATCTACCACGTGCCAAACATGTCATAACAGTACAAAGTAAATGCTCCCATTCTCTGCATTTTACGAGCAAACCATGCTATGGCATCTGCCCCAGGCCACACAGGATGTGAGTGGTAAGGTTGGAATGTGAACCTGGGTTTGGGGGACTCCAGATCCTGGGTTCTTCCCCCTCCCCAGCTCTGTGTCAGCAAGACCCGATGAGTCCTGGGGGTCAGGTGCCCACAAGAGCCTGCTCAGTGGAACGACTCGGGATGCTCCAATGAGGGCAGACCTGCCCACACGTCCTTCCTTCCCCCTCAACCTACCACAGAAGCGCCATATAGTGCTGGGGGTCGACCGGGTTGCAGAAGATGTGGCCCTCTAGGGCGGGCGTGGGCTCCTGGAGCCAGAGAAACAGGGTATCGCTGGTGCCCAGGCTGACCTGGGGAGAGACGGGCAGAGGTAAGGTGCCTCAGTCTTCGCCCAGCTCCACCACCCTGACCCCATCGATTCACTCCTCATGCTGCAGACCTCAGATTAAAGGCCACTTCCTGGGAGAAACCTCTTCTGACCCTGCCACACCAGCTGAGTCCAAGGTCAGCTCCTGAGATACACGCTGCCATGGATTCTGTGGGCTGACCTTCTAGAACTAATCACAACTACATCTAACTAACGGTGCGGGTGATGCCTGGTTCCCCAAGTGACTCTCCTACTGAACGCAGGAGAGCATGGGTGATGTCTTCCTTACTCATCTGGGGAACTCACAGTCCTCTGGCCCAATGTCTGAACCTTCTGCCACCATGGCCACCAAGACTGGCCACTGTCAAGGCAGGCAGAGAACTCAGCAAAGGCAAATGACCTTCTAAGAGAGAAGATATGGGCAGGTCCTGGGGCCTGGGTCCCCCTATCCCGTCCCTCAGCTGCCTTTTGGGACCAGCGGACCCTTTGAGAGGCAGCAAAGATGACCCCCAGGGCAGAAAGAGCTGGCTCCACCTGTGGGCATGAGAAGTCACCTTACCGCAATGTCACCTTCCTCTAGCCTCATGCCTGCCAGCGACGCTGAGAACGGGAGGGGAGCCTCTGGTTAGCCACACGGGAGCCACAGAGCAAACGACAATCACCCCCCAGATGGGAGTGCAGCCCCCACCTCCCACCTGAATCCACATGCTAAAGGTAGAGGCAGGTACAGGGTGAGATGAGGGCTCAGGAGGTCCCCAAATGAGGCTCCAGGGCTCAGAGGGTGGAGGCTCAGTGGTCAGGGCCTTTCATTTGGGCTGGGACCTCTTTCCAGAAGCATCCCAAACTCCCCACCCACGGTCAGGTGCTCCCGGGAGTGAAGAGAACCGAGGGGGCCAGGTCAAGACCCATAAGGCAAAAAAAGACAAAGGTGAGGCTACCTGGAGAGTGAAATCCCCCCAGGGACTCACCTGGGTTGTCCCCAGTGAAAGCCACCACTTTGCATCCTGGAGGAAATCCGTAGCGCTGGACGTAGTAGGAAGAAATGGCTCCCTGAGGATGAAAAGCCAGCACCCTCTACTGAGGCAAATCCCGCCTGCTCAGCACAGCCGGCCACCCGCGGGCCCAGGGCTGTCACAGGCTCCACAGGACTGTTACTGTTACAGCGGGACCAGGCCCTATCTTCAGTATCTTAAGCACTTTAAAGGTATCAACTCATTTATTTGACACAACCGACCAATGAGATAGAAAGTACTGTTATTCTAATTGTTCCAGGAACAATGGCAATGATGAGGAAACTGAGGGACAGGATAAAGTCTCAGGGCCAGGTAGTGGCACAGCCAGGATTCTGTCCCAGGCAGGCTGGCAGCAGGGCCTGGGCTCTGCCCGCTCGCTGGTACTTCTATTTTCTCCAGGCTGCCTGCTTCAAGCTTCAGTGGTGGTCCGGAGCCCAGAACCGCAACATTCTGTACATTTTCCTAAGGTGTGCGATCATCCAAAACTTATGCCAGGCCCTGATGCAGACATGCTGCTTTACCTGCCTTATACTAGACTGAATGTCCCATACATAAATGTGTGTGTGTGTGTGTGTGTGTGTGTGTGTGTGTGCGCTGCACTGCCTCCCCCGTAGCTGCCAGCTCTTAAAGGAGCTGCATCACTGGGCAGAGGACCTACCACAACTGAGCATGATGGTACCGGGGGGCCAAGCTTCTCCTCTAAATGAGGTGCACAGGCACCAAGGCAAGCCTGGGACCAGACTTTGTCCTGGATCTGCAACAAATTCATTCCAGAACCTAAGGAAGGAAGGAAACAAGAATTAGAAGCATCTTGTAAAAATGCACAAATCTGGCAGAGAGCAGACCATTCTCTCGCAGCAAACTGGTACCAATGGGATGCATACCATGTGCCCGGGTCAGGCTGGAACCAGAGAACCAGAGGCCGGCAGGTTCCTGAACACACATGGCCCCACCACTTCCTCCCAGTATTTTCCTGTCCAGCTCAAACACCACGGTTAGCCTGTTAAGCTGCTGCTCTGAGACCTGGCCAGGGGAGGGGAACTACCAGAAATATGTTGACAGAGAACCGCTCTGTGTCCCCTGGCATTCAAGGTGTCTTCTCGGAGGCAGCCTGCTGCTGATGTGGGTCAGGAATCTAAGCTGCTCCCAGATTCCGGGTCTGCAGAAACTCTGAGCTAACAGATATTTGTGCTAACTGCTCTGGTCACCTGCTACATAGCAAGATAACTAATACCCTCCCTTCTTGGCAACAGATAATAGGGCTGAAAGACTGGCACCCGCCCAGTGGGCAAGGCTCACACTGCCTGCACACCCACTGCGCTGGCACACGCTCGGGACTCCGAAGGCTTACTTACCATCACTGTAGTCAATGGGGCAGTAAGACCCAAGAAACAGGGAAGCGGCGAAACTGCTGACCAAGGAAATTCTCTGTAAGAGAAGGAAACAGTGAGATATGACTCACTTCCATACACCCTAAGCAACTGAATACTTCACACACACACACACACACACACACACACACGCACACGAAGAGCTTTAAACTGTGAACAAGATACCCCAGTAATGGCAGTGACATCTCACCCCGCAGTTTCTGACAGGCCATAAAACTGTCAAGTTCAACACAGACAGAGGAACAGGCCCGATGAAAAAGCCAGGCTTAGGGAAATGGGTTTTCCACCCAGAATCCGGGGGGTGTGGTGCCCCAATTTCCTTCCTCCACTTCTGTAGTCTCTATACCTAGTCACAAGGGAAGTGCGATGTGTGGCCACAGGACTCAGACCCAACAAATATACTCTTGGGGGTTCAGAGCAAGTATCAGTGAAAGCTGCCCAGTCAGAAGCCACCCATCCAGATATGACCTGAAGGAACTGATAACAGATTTCAAATATCAGCCCAGGGGTCTCTGCTTCCACACAGGGAACCACAGGCCCTTGGGCCAGGGCAGGGAATGCCACCACCTCCTGTCCCCATCAGGCCATCTGTCCTTTGTTTCAGAGAGGGTTTTTCACCTCCGACCTACATGGCTAATGCTGCAAAGTAATCTTGAGTAATTCATAATATAAATTAGATGTTAACTTCAAAGGGTTAAAAGGTTTAACACAAGCTGGTCATTTTCTAATTACTCAGACATGGAAATCACTCCCACCCAGGGTGTCAAGCCGCTTCTCAGGTGACATTAAGTGCTGGCTTTTAGCAACTGTGGATCAGGGAATAAACCTGAGTGCCTGGGACACAGGCTCAGGTTGAAGGGCACAACTGGGGACACATCGGTCCAGCTTTACAAATTTCCTAAGAAAACACTTACCCCACACCAGTCAAGAGCCTGGCAGCCACGCTGCATTAACCATTCAGGAAATCAAGAGGACGGAGCCGAAAGAGCACCCAGATCTCTCACCCAGGTGGCCCCAGGAAGACAGCAGTCCCCGCAGGTCCCGCCCTGACCCTGACCTCCACCCCTTCTGAGCAGGAGAGTCCCTTCTCTTTCCCGTGATTCCATTCTTTCCCTTTTCTTTGGAAACAAGCAAACTGTCTCCAAATGAGAATAAAAGCAAATTGAATGTATCATTTTAAATGTCTGCTAATCGATGTTTTTTTCACCAATGCACATGAGATGTATTTCTGTTAAAGGTACGTACCATAAAGGGAATTCAACTGTGACTTTCAATCAAGTGGGGACATTTAACCAACCTCTGTGTGTGCGTAGGCCTCAGGGTTCTGCTGGTAAATCTTTGCAATTTGGTTTCCTGTAAATCGCTGGAAAGAAGATGGCAAATTCTTAAAAACCCCAAAACCTACACAGAATGATCACGTCCATAAAGTGCGGGTAGTGCAGCAAGCTCTGGGTATCAGTTAGGATGACGAAGGCTTTTAAAAGGCCTCAGGAATGCCTGCTGTCTGCTGACCATTAGTGACAAAGCCTTGCTCGGGGACTGACACACAGCGCAGGGGCTGCTCGGACCACGGGCACCTGTGCTGGCGACTCGAGTATGTTCCTCACCCACATCCTTCTGACTTCAGGTGGCCCGAGTAGGGTTAGCCCTATCTTCAAAACCTCTACTCCGAGAGGGCCGCATGACCCAAGCTGGAGCTGGGCTGGTGGCAGCCACCTGTGGGTGGAGTGGGACCATGGCTGAGACCAGCAGGAAAGAGGCACTCTTTTTTTCTTTTTTTCCCCACTTTGCCAGGAACTGTATTAAATACTAAGTGTCTTACATGCACTGGTTCCTTTCAGCTTCAAAACTACCCAAAATGCAAAAGCTAGCTGTATCCCCGGGTTAAGTGGCTGAACCTGAGGCACTGTCATCACCTTGGCTCGCGTGGAGAGCACAACAGTGTTCACACTTCAGTTCTGACCTGGAAACACCCAGGAGGAGGCCCGTCCTTGCTCGATGGGCAGCCCAGAAAGGCAGAACGGCCTTGATCAGGACCAGGGGTCAGAACACCTAGTCCTGGCTCCTCTGAGGCGACACCCACACAGCCTCATGAGATCCCCACAGGGGCTGGCCACCAGCTGCGTCCTCCCAGACACGCAGAGAAAAGGGACCGGAGCCAACCACCAGACGTTCCTCCCGGGACGAGCCCCAGTCCCAGCCACTGTGAGTCCTGCCTACCTCGTAGGCCCGGGAGCCAGTGAGGCAGCTGAGCGCCTGGGCGCCCCCCACGGCCGTCTCTAGCTGGTGGCACTGGGCGGTGGTGCTGGAGTCCATCCACACTGGGCAGTCGCTGATAGAGAAACAGGCCTGGAAAGAAGGGCCAAGGGCTCGGGCTTGAGCTCCGCCTGCTGGTTCTGGGATTGGCAGTCATACCACCCATCACAGCAAGTGCCGGAGCCTCTTCCCTGGATGTGACAATACACAAGAGCCCCGGGCCTCAGGGCCTTTCTTCCCCCTCTACAGCAGTTTCTCTGACTCCCCCATCCTGGCCAGTTACCTGCAGCTGCTGGTGTAACGGGAGGTCTGGTGACAGGCTTGTCAGCACCCGGCTGGCCCCTGCTTTCCAGTATATACTTCCGTGTTGCTGCCCAGGGGAAACCCAAGTACACATTCATTAGGCCACACACTGGTGTCACAGCCTTCTGGAGACAGAAAGCACAGAAAGACCCCAGGCCACATGCCAAAGAACTGGGCTCCAGGCCTGCCCTGCCCTTCTTCGTCACAGAGCTCATCCTCTTAACGGGACTTGGTTTTCATGTCTATAAAATGGGGAGGAACTCTGTCCATCCACCTTATAACTTGTGGGAAGGCTCCAAGGAGGAATGATCAGTGTGGATATTGGTGCTTTTGTAGAATTGTATTTTAATACATGGCTCATAATATTATCTGAAATTCACTCGTTCAATCATTTACCCGTCCATTCATTCAACCAACACTTACTGAACACCTAGGTCATGCCAGGCATAGGACAGATGGATAGTATTGTCCCTATTCTGCAGGATGCTGGAGTTGAGTCAGGGAAAAATACACAAACGTTCAATTACGAAACCCTGGAGGTGCAGTAACAGGGCTGAGGGAACAGAGAGGAGGGGCATCTAACCAGCTGGGGGTACAGGTGGGTAGAGGTAGACGTGATTATTAGGAAAGGATCCCAGAGTTGAGAGTACAGATACTCCAGGCAGAGTGTAACCACAGGTGAGCGAGACCCTGGCAGGTGTAGAGAAGGGTGGCATGCTAAGCAGTGGGCCTGAAGCTGGGGCAGTAGGTGGCTGATGGGGCTGGAGGGGAGGGTGGGAGCACCAGGGCCTCCATGTCCATGCTCAGAAGGCTGGGGTTTATCCTGGGGGTGTGAGAACTCTGGGTGGGCAGGATGTAACTGCTCTGCTAACTGCTCCTTGATACCACCTCACAGAAATGTTATAAGGACTCAAAATTTATATCAAAGGCTCAGCACTGCACTCGGCATACACTAAGTGCTCAATGTTAACTGTTATTATTATTACTAGTATCTCTTCTACTAAAACTGCTATCATTATTAGCATAATTTCTGACTTTGCTTTCACTTCCAGGAAAGAGAAAAGCAATGCTCGTGCCCCAGTCACAACAAATTCAAATCAACTCCCTCTATCCCCTCAGAGGACCTCTATCCAGTTCCTCCTCTCCCACTGTCCTATTCTGTGCAATGCTCAATCCTAAGAACTGTCTCAGATCCTTCTGCACGGAGCCAAGCCACATGCCCTCCAAGGCAAAACAGCTACGGGGGTTTTCACAACAGAACAGAACGTGTGCACTGGGTCTCAGGAACAAGCACCTTCCCTCAAGGGAGCTGGCACCTCGGCACCGGCTCCACTGCCCAAGACGGCCGCCCTCGCATGGTCCATGCAGGCATCTGCAGACAAACCTGGCCTGCCCCCGACAAGGCGAGGACTTGAGAGAAGTCAAAGCCCGAGGCCTTCATCTTCTCCAGGATGCTATCCAAAGCCTGAGGAGAAAAACAGAATCCATGTGACTGTACTGAGCCACGGACCCAGGCAGCCACACAGGCCTCCAGACAGAAATGGAAGGGCTCGTCTTCATGGAGGCGACGGAGGAGTGGATACATGCATTAAACACGTGGGCGTCAATCAAACAGAAAAGTGAACTATGCTAAAAACACTTTAAATAAATGGAAGCACTAACCACTGATCCTTAAATTCTGCTTCTCCAATTTGTGACTCCTAAGCACTCAGGGAGAGAAAACAAGGTGGCTCGAATTTCAGTTCCTTTTATTTGCATTTTCAACCCACCATATTAATGATGTCACTTCACTGCAATGGAGAAGTGAAGAGCGAAGGAGAGGGCTCCTACCAGGACGGGGCTCAGGCCCACATTCCCTGTGTCCAGGAGTGCAAGGCTGGAGAGAGAGTAGATAGAGCTGGTGGCCATTGTCCCAACCCCTCCACCATCCGCCATCGGATGGAATCTTCTTTCTAGCAAGACCCCATGGGGGGGGGGGGCAGTGCCCAGCAGAGCTCCATACTTCCCCTAAGATTTCACAGCAGGAATTAGAGAGTCACCCCGGGCTGGGATCTCCCTATGGGTAGAGAAGCCACCTGAGCTTCTGGATGACCCCGCCATCCCCACCCTGTGCAGAGAGGACTCCTTTCACAGTCCTGGCTGTGGCTATCCACTCTAACCCTGCTTGTCAATCCTTCTGCAGGGACTGCAGTACAGCTGGGGCAGGGGTTGGCATAACTAGAACAGGTCCTGTCCTGGGGGCTGCTCAGAATTAGAAGCCACCCTGGCCCCAACCCCAAGCCTGACTCTCTACCCACAGCTCTCTCTCCCCAAGTGAAGGCCTTGACATCATCACTGGGACCTCTAGACCCCAACTCTTGCTTGTCACCCCCATCCCCACCAATGCCCCTCGGTCTGGCTCAGCCCTCCGAAGTACATTCCCGCCAGCCTGCCTGGTAGAAATTCATCGTTTACCCCAGTCCTCCAGCATGAGTCAAGGTGAAGCTAATTAAAAAGGAATCACACTAGTTATCTCAACGGAAAGAATTTAGCACAGGAAATTGGTCAAATAGGTATTGGAGGGCTGAAAAACTTCGGGCAGACACATTAAGTTCTGCCTTTGGTTGGCCTCCAGTTTCAGGGCCTCAGGTCCCCTGTGGTATATAAGGCAGCCCCCAGCCCTATCGCGCCTATTTATGAAGTCCACACACCCTGTCCTGTGGTCCCATGGGTCACCTGGATCTGGCTACAGGCATCTTTCTTTACCACTGCTTTTGCATGAGTAGGCCTGCTTGGGATCAATCTGAACCTGATGGGGCAGGTCACAGGCCACCATTCTGAAGGCCCCTGCCCTAGGACATGAGGGGTCTGGGGACCGAGCACTAAGAACCCAAGGCTATGTTTGGACCTCAGGCTACAACAAGGGTGGCCACAGGGCCTGACTGTAGAGTGTTTGGGAAAAGTCTGCTCTGTGGTGTATGAAAGATGGAAACTGGCTGGGGTTTCTAGCCACTATGGCTCCAGAACCTGGAAGCCCTTTGTGAGTCCTCTCAGCTCAGGCATACTGACACCAGCTGAGGCTAAGCCTGGCCCTAGGAACCACAGGGCCTCCATTTCTCCTCAAGGACTTGGTTCTCAACAGATGCTCTCATGAGCTGTGGCCTTTGAGCTTCCTAGCAAATCGCTAGGTCTGCTGGTAAGACAAGCTGGGGACAGGAAAGGGACAGGAATCCCTGTGCTTTACCTGGACCCACATCAGGACTGGAGAAGTCACTGTCAGACCATCCTGGTGAACATGAACTCCACCCTGAGTCCTACAAGGAGAACAAGAGAGAATGTGGGACAGAGCTCGGGCTGGGGCCCAGCAGTGGCAGATCCCGGATACCTCCAGTGGAGGAGAAACGCCCCTTCTCCCAATCTCAAGAGGAAACCCTAAATTGAACAGGCACGAATGCTGAGTGAGATGGGAAGAGAAGGCACAGAATTTCACCCAAATGCCAATTATCAGAAAGCACCGGCAAAAACAAGCCTTCGAAGGCAGGCATGGTGTCACTTGGTACAAAGGCCAAGAAGGGACTGGGGATCGCGGGGTTGGAGGAGAAGCCTTCCCAAATCTATTGCATTTGGAGAGGTAGAGGCGTGACTACAGGAGGTGCTGCATCTGTGAGAAAAGTTCTTGGCCAATCAGCCTGAGTCCTTGGATTACAAGCCATGGAAGATTATCTGGAATGCTCTCCCTCCCCTCCTCACCCCAACAAGACCTTCATGCAAAACAACAGACAGAAATAAGGTTTAAAATAACTATGTGCACTGGGTAGTTTTTACCTCGTTACAAACCACTTCAAAACACAGTGGCTTGAAACTACTTAGCTCACAATTCTGTTGGTCAGTCACTGGGCTGGGCTCCGCTGGGTGGTACATCTGTGGTCAGCTAACTAGCTAGAGAGCTCTGCTTCTGGGGGCTGAATTCTGCTTCTCTTAGCTGAGGAAATGGGGGCAACTAGGCCACATGTCCCGCTCTCTAGCAGGCTAGCCTGAGCTTGTTCATGTGGTGTCTGTATAGGATTCCAAGAATGAGAGTAGAAACACGCAAAGCCTCCCGAGGGTTGGAGTTAGAACTGGCACAATGTCACCTCCCCGTGTTCTACTGATTAAAATTAACAGGTGGGGAAACGACTCCATCTCTTGATGAAAAGAGTTGCAAAGTCACATTGCAAAGGGCATGGGTACAGGGAGGTGTGGAGAATTACAGTAAATATACTACAATGCACAAAATCCATATGCTAAGCGTATGAAAACACACATGAGGTGCTCAAAAGAAGACTTGAGCAAATGGAAAAACAGCATTGTGCTTAGACAGGAAGACTCGGTCTCTTGTCCATTCACTCCACGTTAATTTATAAACGTAGTATGATCTCAATAAAAATATTAACAATTTTTCTTTCTGGAACATTAAATGCTAATTCTAAAGTACGTACCAATAAATACCAAAAAACAGTAGCCATGGAAACTAAAAAAGGAAAGAGGGGACCAACAATTCCAGATATTAAATCCTATTCTAAAGCTGGAACAATTAAAACGATGTATTACTGGCTCATGAAGAGATGCACTAACCAATAGAGCAAAAGAAAATGCCCAGGAATAGACCTAAACATACACAGAAATTTAGCACATGACAAAGCTGGTGTCTCGGATCTGTGCGGTAAAGCTGGACTTCTAAAAAAGTTCTGTTCAAACCACTGAGAAAAGAGTCACCTGGAAAAAATTAAATTTATGTATAAATGTCATGCCATGTACCTAAATAAAATCCAAATACTTTTACATAGGACAACTGAGATCTTATAAGAACTAGATGCAAACATAGGTGAATTCCTTCATAATCTTGAGTAAGGAAGGCTTTTTAAAGTATGACTCAAAATCTAGAAGCAACGGAAAAAAGAGACAGAGAAACTCAACAAAGACCCATGTATGGCAACAATAGCAACAACCCATACACAAGTCAAAACAAACAAAAACCTGAGAAACATATTTGCAACTCATGTAAGGAGAGAGATAATTCCTCTAATGTATGAAAAGCTCCTAGAAATTGATAAAAATTGATTACCAATCCAACAGAAAAATGGGCAAAGGACATGAAAAATAACTTACAGGGGGAAAAAATTCAAGTAGCCCTTCAACATATGAAAAGATGCTCAGCTTCATTCACAATAAGAGAAATGGAAAGTAACTCTACACAGAGATACCATCTTTCACCTCTCTGATTGGCAAAGAACCAGAAGCTCTTTTACAACCACACTGAATTAGCAGTGCTGTGGGAAGCAGACACTCTCATGTATTGCTGGTATGGTGTAAATCAATACAATCCCTATGGGAAGCAATTTGGCTACATCTTCCAAAGTTATAAATCTATTTGTTCTTTGATCCAGCAATCCTATTTCCAGAATTTTACCTGGCAGGTAAACTGGCACGTGTCTGGAATGGCATCTGAAAGTAATTCACTATATCATTTTTCATTGCAAACAAGCCAGTATCCTTAAATAGGAGAAGATAAATCTACCCAATGGAATATTATGCAGCTATAAAAAGAACACAGAAGTTCTATGTACTGGCATGGAAACAGAGCCAAGTAATTGTGAAATGAGTAAAGCAAAATACAAAATGATATAGACAGTATGCTTTTTTGTGTATAAGAAAGAAAGAAAATAAGAATATTCTTATGTACTAAAATTTCAATATAAAACACTGGAAGGATACACAAAAAAACTAAAGTCAAGGAGGGTAGGAGGGAAGAGATGAGATCACAGAGGAATTACGACTTTTCACTATATGCCTTTTGTTTCTTTTGAATGATATACCAAGTACATGCAATGCCTATAAACAAAAATTTTTATTTAAAAAAAAAAAAAGCTTTGGAAGAGAATTGGCAATTTCTTAAAAAGTTAAACATACACCTACCATATGACTTAGCTATTTCTGGGTATTTCATTTCCAGAAGAAATGAATGCTTATGTCAGTACCAAGACTTGTATGTGAATTCCACAGCCTCCTTAAAACTGGAAACAACCCAAATGTCTCTCATCAGGTGAATGGATAAACTATGATGCATTCATACAATGGATACTACTGAGCAATAAAAAGAACTACTGATACATGTAACAACATGGATAAATCTCAAAATGGTTATATTGAATTTAAAAAGTCAGATAAAAAAAGAGTATATAATTATGATTCCCTCTATATAAAATTCTCAGCACCCAGCACAGTACCTGATGCAGAGTCTCAATGGGTACCTACTGCATATATGCATGAATGAATGAATCAATGAATGGAACTGGGAAGGAATGGAGGAGAGAGCATTCCAGGCATAGCAAAAAAGTTGCTGAGAGTTCTACCAACACTACTAATACTGCAGTTTGATGAAGCCAGAATAGTGTTTATAAATGTAAAAGGTTGAGTGGGGACACCCAAACCAATGCCCCCGCCTCCTGGAAACATGTACACTAGGTACATACCCAAATTCTGGAAGGTCTCTATCAAAATGCACACTGTCCTCATAGAAGACATTCAGCTCCGTATCAACAGCCACGACTTTCACCTGGAAGGCATTGGAAAAGAGGGTGAGTAGAATTTCCCTCAGCTTCTACACTAGTCCAGGGACAAACATCATCAGGTGAAGGCCAGCACTCTAGAAGTGAGTGGTTCAACCTGGAGACCTCCTGGAAGGCTGGGATGCATGATCGTAACCATGACAACAGAGCCTCCTCTGGGGACATACCCAAAGATTTAGCCCAGGCTGAGCTGAAACACCCATGCAGCTCAAGGAATCTCTGCCCGCCAAACAGCCAAAGTCAAGGCCCTCTAGAGATAAATGTTCATAAATGAGCTGGCTCCTGCACCCGGCAAGGAGGCCTCTGAAAGCTCTAGAGGCGAAGAAATGCTAGGCTAAAGTTTGGGGATGTCTCTTGGGGACCATGTCTGCAGGGATCTGAGAGACCAGGCAAGGCCCCTGGGCTGTTCCCATAGGCCATGGTCATGGCCCAGAGTCATACAGTGTCCCAATGCAGCAGACCTCCAAACCCAGGGGGGCAATTCCTTTCCTAGACAGATGGGGAAACTGAGGTCTGGCAAGGCAACCTGACTGGTCCAGGGTCCCACAGGACTGTCTGCTCACGGACTGGTCTGCTTCCCTGGCCCATCCCAGAAGAGGGGCTTGACTGCAATGGTGCTGATTTGCCAAGTTAAGGGGAGGCGCCTGGGCACCCACGCCCAGTTTGAAGGCAAATTTTGACTGCTTGCCTGTCTGCGGGGTCCTGGGAGCAGCGCAGCCCGTCGTCCCGTGGCCAGCACTGCTGGGCACGCTGACCTGGGCACGCTGGTGCCAACCGAAGGGTGGAACAAAGTTCAGTGTACAATGTCCCGTCTCACCAAAAAAAAAAACAAACAAACAAGTTCCAAGCGGTGATCTGGTTCCAGTCGCTGGTTATGCCTGTGCGCCAGGTCACCGTGTGCCTGTTCCCGCATCCTACAGCAGCGAGGGCCTCCG